GCTGTTCTTGGGCAGTTGCACTTTTGGGATGGGCAGGGACCCTCTGCCACCATGTCTGCACCCAGGGAATGTAAGGGTGGTCAGGGAAGTGGAGTCACGGATCAGTGGAAAGTCTGACTTTGCCCTTTGCTCTTTCGGTGGAAATCCTGCTAAAGATGAGTCACTGAGTAGTGGCTACTGGAGTTGGAGCCAGAGAACACTGTGTCCCCATGATCAGGTTGAGGTGCCAGCTGAGGGGAGCCCCGTGTGTCTGGAGGCCAGGTGGGAGGCTCTCTGTCTACCATGTACACTGCCCAGGGAGTCACAGCAGAGAGGTGGGAGGGGAATGTCGGGACAGGGAAGTGACAATACAAGATTTAAATACAGGTCAAAGAAGCTGCACAAGAGATGCCGGGATGATGTTGATAGAAGGGAAATGCTGACCACGGTTGCTACTTGTGTAAAGGGAAGGAGTGGACACCAGTGTCTGGAGCCTTCTCTGTGCTGAGTTCTTTTATAGGCATTTTCTTACTTAAATCTTGCAGCAACCCCCAGGACAAAAATATTATCATCCCTGTTTTAAAGATGAGAAAACTTAAATACAGTCCCTTGTTTAAGGGGCAGGCCAGGGCTGTGAAATCCCATAGCACACACACAGCTCTCCCCCCCCCCCCACGGCCTCCCTGGTACAGTCAGATTAAAGAATGTTTTAAAATTTATACACAATACAGTTTATATTTTTAGTGTTCTTTGAGTTTCGAAAAATACATAGATCAAGTGGGTTTATTTAGATTTTTTATTTTGAGGTCATTTTACATTCGTGTAATTAGAGGAAATAATCCAGGGAAATCTTGCATACCCCTCACCCAGTGTCCCCACAGGAGTAACATCTTGCCAGACTGTAATGCAACATAACAAGCAGGAAATTGTTACTGAGAAGGTCAGGATGCAGAATATTGCTGTTTCCACATGCGTCCCTCCTGTTGCCTCTAATAACCACACCTACCCCCTTTGTTTTCCACACCCCCACCCCAAACCCCTGGCAACCTCCAGTCTCTTCTTATTCTCTAATTTTGTCATTTTAAGGATATGATATGGTAATAACTGGATTCACACAATAGTTAACCTTTGGGGACTGGCTTTTTCTATTCAGCGTAATTCTCTGGACATTCATCCAAGTTGTGTGTATATGTGGTTCATTCATTTTTATTGCTGAGTAGTATTCCGTGGTGTGGTTATACCACAATGTATTTGATCATTCACTTGGTGAAAGGCATCTGGGTTGTTTCCTGGTTTGAACTATAGTGAGTAAAGCTGTTATGAACATTTGTGTGTGGGTTTTGTGTGAATATAAATCTTAATTTCTCTGGGATAAATGCTAAGAAGTGCTATTGCTGGGTAGTTGCTCGAGTGGGCTTTTCAAGGGTACCTTTGGGATGGAGAGGCAGGCACTGGTGGCAAGTGCAAACCTGGGAGCTGGGCCACCAGGATTCAAATCCTAGCTTTGAACCCAAACTCTGGGCGAGTTGCTTCATATAGCTGTAAAATGGGTTAATTGAACCTAGCTTGAGCTAATGTGTGTAAAGTACCTGGTACGCAATAGGTACTCAGTAGATGGAAGCTGATTTTAATATAGGTTAAAAGAGAGCCCACTAGACCAAAGCAGGGTCTGTGCCCCAGAAGTGGCCCATGGGAGGGCTTTGTCAGGCTTCCACTTGTGCCTGCGGGATTGCCCAGTTATTGTCTTTTCTGAGGCCATGCCCCTGGCTTCTCCCTGAAAAGACCCTGGCCCTGTTCTCCAACTGGGCTCTGAGTCTCTGGGTGGGTGCCAGCATTCCTTAATGAAGTTGGCCAAGCCCATGCCACGGATCAGAGGAATCTCAGGGAATTCCAGATTGCACTGAGCTCTGCTGTTCTGATTTGCCTCACAGAGTCTGAGAATATGCCCAGATCATCTCAGATGTTACTATGATTTAGCCCCCAATTCCAGGAATGTGTATTTAATTGTTATGGTGTGTAAGGCACTGTGCTAGGTGTTGCAAAGGATTTGGAAGAAATTGCTCTCTTTCAATAGACCAGAGCAGCCAACTCTAGCCTCCGGCCTCCTAAGAGATCCCCTACGGCTGCCTGATAAGGTCTGTGTTCAGTGTGGCACTCAGAGCCCTTGGTCTGGGTTGAGTCTGTCTCCCCAGCTCCTGCCCTGCTGCGCCTACAGTGCCCTGTGTGGTAGCCCCTCACAAGCTCACGTTCCCACACACTGATCCAGCCAAGCGCCGTGCTTTGCTCACAGTCTTCCTTTTGCCTGGATGCCCTTCTCCTTCCTGTTGAAATCTTGCCTGTTTTTAAAAAGTAAACAAGTACCATGTGCATGGGATGGAATATTCAAACAGCTCAGAAGGCCACACTGTCAGTATTTCTCCCCTTCAGAACCGTAGTTGCCTCCTCCAGGCAACCATGGTATGGAACCATACTGGACTCCTTTTTGTTGCCTTTTTCACTTTATAGGGTTAGAGCATCTTGGAGATTGTTTCATATCTGTACTATTAGAATGGCCTCATTAAAGTTTTTTTTTTTTTTGAAGGCCACACAGTATTCCTTTACATAATGATACCATAATTTATTTAACCAGTCCCCTGTTCATAGGTGGCTATCTTGTCCCCACTCTTGGGCTCTTACAGACAGTGCTGCATGTCTTTGGCCCCTGTGCAAGACCCAACTCTGGTGTCCCCTTTCTGTTTGCCTCTGGTGTGTGTAGTGCCTGGTTCACAGCACTCTCTTTCTGAGACCTCTAGGACAGGGATTGTGCCATGCCTCCTGTCTCCTTTCACTGCCTGCCATGTCACCTGGTACTGTTGGTGCTTATGCTGCCACTGGGAGCCCTGGTCCCTTGTAGGGGCTGTGGTGGGGATGGAGCTGGCAAGTCACTGCCCCAGTCTCACTTCCTGCTTTGTGTGGGGCTGCATCTGGATGGGCTGACTTGTTTCCATGGCAATAGATTTCCATAGTATCATTCTTACTAGCCTCCTATTTCATCAGAAGGATGGACCATAATATAGCCAGGCCCCTTTGATGAATTTAGCTTGTTTCCTTTTAAACAAATTTGAGAGGATGACTGCTTTGCTGTGCACTGCTGAGAAAAGGGTCTGGACTCACAGGCTTCCCTGTGAAACTAAGAGTAGTAGCTTCTGTTCATTGAGCAGTTACTCAAATGAGCTAGGCACTGAACAAAGAGCTGAGCTCTATTTTCATAAGATACAATAACCTCGTGAGGTAGGCACTGTTGCCCCTATTTTACAGAAAGGGAAATGGCTCAGAGAGTAACTTGGCAAAGGTTGAGGTTACAACCAGATATGTTTGATTCAGAACCTGAGCCTGTAACCACTGAGCCTACCTGGCTTCTTAGAGAGGAAAGAAATGGAGTAGGGAAGGGGACAGGTCACCCCCCCCCCCAGGCCTTGTGTCAATGGCTGGCTGCCCCATAACTGAATTGAAGCTCACATCCAGAAAGGAGATGGCCGCCATCAGGCCTCCACCACGAGGTGGCACAAAGGGCCCCATTGAAGGGTGAGTTCAGGAGTACCCCTCCTGGCCCGCTCCTGAGCCAATATCCAGGGGGCCGGCGGGCATTTCCAGCTCAGCTGTCTGGCCAGAACTTGGAGGAGTGGTCTGAAATTCCTTCCTTGAACAGATCCCTTTTGGTTAGAACGTGTAGCTTCTAGACTGATGTGGTATTGAAAGAGCATCAGGTCTTGCAGTGTGACCTGGGACTCTCATACTCCCCTGGGCCCCCCTCTTGAACAGTCAGGCCATGAACATGTATTGATTTCCCTCCTCCCCTGGCCTGCTTTTGCACTTTGGATGAACCTTGTTTTCGAAGAACAGTAGAAGGTAATTTTCCTGTGCTTGCCAGCTGGCCCGTAATTGAGCAATTTCAATAACACCCACTGTAAAGTCTAATCGAAGTAAACAGGAAAATATGATTTACAATCTGGACAGCAAGTAAATACCAGGGTGCAATTAATTTTTACATAGAGCAGCAGATTCTGAAACATTTTCCTGTGCTGAACAGTTTGTTTTTATTACAGATTAGCAGCTGCTTTTCTATTTATTTATTACTATTATCGTTATTTTTTTCTTTTTGTTGGTGATCTTCAGATTCCTTGTGTCTATATGTCTTTCTTTGAAGGTTTAACCACAGGAGGATGGGTTGGAGAAATAGGACCAGGGACATTAATTTGTAAGAAGTGATTTTTTAAACCAGATGTGAAGGCTGCACTCTTTCTTCATTTGCTTGGGGAAGTGATGGTGGACTGGGGAGAGGGTGTGGGTGGGTTGTGCAGGACAGGATACTGAGGGGATCCTGTCTCTGCTGGAAGCTCACTCACTCTGGTTCATTCTGGGGAGGAGGACAAAGCTACAGAGGCCCCTGATGTTGCAAGTATGTTGATGTTGAAATGTGTACCTCCAGGGGTAGGAAATGTGTACCTTTAAGTGGGCCCTCCAGATTTTCCCAGTAGCTTCTGTACATGACTCAGGGAGAAAGGGAGCCCATGTGCTGACTGTGAATACCCAAGGCCAGTTGGCTGCCCTAGGGCTGACCCCTTCCATGTTTGATGCAGGGATGAAGTGTGCTATGACCCTTGGCGTAACTTAATGTGTCCTAACGTATGCTGAAGCTGCCTGTAAAGCCAGCTCAGTGATAAGCTGTCACATGACTAGAGCACACTATAGAGACAGCAAATTGTTAGCCACCCAGACCCTGAAGTTGATCTTAAAGGTATCGCATGGCTGGACCCAAATTTCTTGCTCTACCCACCAGGGTGTTGGCTTTTAGGGATGGCCTGAGGCTGGCATGGGGGTAATTGGTGGTTCTGAGAAGGTGATTCTGGGCCTTGGTGACCCTTCCAGAATGCATCTGCTTTAGCAGGGAGTTGCTTCCATTCCCATGGGGAGGGGCTGCTCTCTCAGGGCCCTGGTCTTCCTTAGTCCTGAATCCCTTTGCCTTTCTTTTGTCTTTCCAGGGAGTCGACCACACTGGGCCATTTTCCAGAAGGGCCCCACCCGAGGGTGAGTGGGTAATGGGGAGCTGTTTCTGCTGACGTCAGTGATCTAGGAGGTGCCCAGGCATCGCCTCTGCCCAAGTCTTCCCAACTGAAGATGGCTCATTCCCACCCTGGGATAGAGCCCAGTGCCTGAGGTCCTTACCATGGTGATGGTCCTGAGTAAAAGCCTCAGTAACCAGGGAGCTGACTCCATAGCATGCAGGAACTTCAAGCCTGAACTGGTAAGAATGTAGCAGGCATCATTTCTTTGACCTTTTGTGAGGCATGATGTCTAGGTTGGGTATGGACTAAGCATCAGGCCTAGGAAACTGAGTCCGGAGTGCCCAAGAGCAGACCTCTATGAGACGGTCCAGGCTGGGCCACAGGGCAGAGGAGCCCAGAGCTTGCCTAAGTACTTGCAAGAAGAAAGTAGCTCAGTGCTGAGTAGAGGGCATCTGGTGAGTGGGGAGGGGAAGGCCATCACCCTGCTAAATAATACCAGGCATGGTTCTACCATCCTGCCAGGCTGAGGCCGACATTCCTTCTGTTTCCACCCTATAAGAGGAGGCGGTTTCCAGAAGGGAGGTGGTGCCTTGCGTGGGGGCCAAGATAAGGCCATACCTCAAATGGGTGGTGCCTTGTAAGAGCTGCTACCGTAGGAATTTCAAGAGTGGGAGATGATGGAGAAAGAAGGCACAGTCTGGCAGCCAAGGTGGTGGGCCATGGGGACATCTGCCCTCTGGCTGCCCTCTTCTAGAGTTATCCCCTGACCAAGTGGTAGTGGGCTGGGGCAGAGGCAGGCCACGAGCAAAACAACCCTTGGCGGCTGAATCCCGTCGGCAACCCCACTCTTCCCTTTCAAGCCCAATTCCTCAGAAGTAAGTGGGGCTGCACCCCTGCAGAGGGAGCATGAAGAAGTGACATGCAGGCATAAACACTCTTGTGTGGTAGTTTAATGGGTGGGTAAGTCCTCAGAACTTTCGGCAGCTTCTGTGGTCTGGAAGGGGTTGACTGACGAGGGCCATGTTGCCCAGGAACCCCTCCTGGCACCCTTCACAGCCCCTGGTGAGCACTCACATAAGCACTCTTGGGGGATCCATTCTCATGCCAGTGAAAACCAAGCCTGGAGCAGACAGATCTAGGTCTCTGACCCTGGCAGGAGCTTGGGGAAGCCACTGAGGCCTTCACAGAGCACCTTCTGTACGTGGGATGCTGGGCTGGAGGAATTCAGGAAACAAGATGAGTCGGAGCTGGGCCTTGCACTTCTTGCCCTTGTGAAGCTCCCAGTCTAGAGGGGGATAGTCTGGCCAGATGTGAATACAGTGACACTTCAGGATCCCATCACCGGTAACTAATAACTGCAGTGTGTGTTAAGCCCAGGGTGTGTAGAGTAGTGGGGCTGGTGTGGTTGTAGCATATCATGGAATAAGGATGTTAGCTTTGGCCTTGAAGGATGCGTAGAAGTGGCTTAGAAACCGTGAGGTGCAACCTCCTCATTTATAAACAAGACAGCTGCAACCTGGAGTGGGTCAGTAACTTCCTCGTTAGTACTGCCTCCTCCCCTCCTGTCAGGCCTACTTCCTGATTGGTTATGTGTTCAAGCCTCTTCTCTCTGGCTGGTGTTTGGACACTAGTCTCGGTGGACTTCTCTGCCTCAGGTCTCTCCAGCCCTTACTAGACATGGCAGCAGTGCCACTCTGCTCATGGGCTGCAGCCTGTGAGGCCTGCAAGGGGGCCTGCGTGCCTGTGCTGACCCAGCCTTAAGGACAAGGACCCAGTTCAGCTCCTCCCTGTGTCCCCAGCACTGCCAGGGTGAGCAGAGAGCAGGCATGTAAGGTGTGTGTGTTTCATGGCAGTCTTGTTCATTGCAGCAAGGAGTAGAGCTGCTACTGCCATCCATTCCTTTCCAATGTGCATTTGGTATATATCTGTTACTCCACTACTTGTCACCACTCCACTGCCACCGCCTGGTTCCTTCTGCTGTCTTCTCTCATGTGGATTCTGTGGTAACTGGCCCCCTGCTTCCAGCTCTTTTAACCTGTTCTCCACCCAGCAGCCAGAAGGGATCCCTGTCAGATCTGTCCCTCCTCTTCTCAGAACCTTCCACTGGCTTCATATCTAACACTGAGCTCATTGCAAGCCCTTGCTAGGATATATGAGGCCCCACATAGTCTCATCCATGTGACTACTCTGACTGCATCTCTGCCACCCTTCTCCCTTGCTCTGCTTAGGCCACACTGGCCTCCTCGCTCCAGTGTGCCAAGCGTGAGCCTGCCCCAGGGCCTTTGTACTTCTTCCATGGCGTGGAGCTCTCTACCATAGCAAGACTCTCTCCCTCCATCCCTTCTTTTTCTGGCCATTCAGCCTAAAATTTAATTCTGCTACCAGCCCCCCTTCTGTCTTCTGTGCCTATCTTTTTCCTTCTTAGGCAGTTGTTACTTTAACGTTTTACCTGTGGATCTTATTTGTTGAATGACCGCTTATACTAGAATGAGCGCTTCATGAAGGCAGGAAGTGTTGTCTTCCTTGCTTGTTGCTAAATACCCAGTGCCTCAACACCAGGGCCCCCCATGTGGCAGGTGCTTGCTGGGTACTTGTGCCGTTGGTGAGTGGACAGGTCTCTGCCTCCCGGCTACTTTTCACTCACTGTTGTTCTAATCCCTCTCTAGCTGCTGCTCAAGTTTAGGGCTAAATGGGTGTGACTAGAGTGGCTGTGACAAGAAAGGAGCAACCTTGAGGGTGAGGGGTCATCTGCAGGTCCCGCGAGAGGAGCCCTTCCTGGGTCCAGCTGTGCTATTGGCCACCTCTGAGCTTGAGCCCTTCTCAGCATGGGACTGGCTGCTGTTTGCTGCAGAGCTGGTTCTGGGGCACATGGGCCTGAAGTCAGCGGAGTTTCTCTTCTAAGAGATGCAGCCTGAGCCCCTTCCAGGAGGAACATGGCTTCCCACCCCTACCCAGTGAAGGAAGACACATCTCAGAAAAGGAGAGCAAGGCAGGGAGAGCTATGAGCTTGTTGGGAGGGATTCTACAGTGTGCATTCCTGCTGCCTCACAGATTAACATCTTTGCTTTCTTCCCAAGCTCTCTGTCTTCTTCTTGGAAAGTATCCTTCTTTTTGCTACTTTTTGTTATTGGCTGATCTGGAAACCACCCAGCCTGGTTGGTGCTTTGGGCCCATCTGCCTTCCTCCTCCTCTTTTCTCCCCTGGCTCCAGATGGGAGGTCAGTTGTAGGGAGTGGCCCCTTCGGAGAAGGGCTTTCTTGTCAGTCACTGTGTGGCCTGGCCCAACCCAGTGCTGTTTGCAGCAGGCAGCATGGCCAGCAGGCAGGCGTAGAGACTCGGCTGTGCTGAGTGCCTGGGGAGGCTGCTTACAGAGGTCCAGTCACCCCCTTCCTCTCCCAGAGCCGAGGGCAGGGCCATGTCCATCTATACCCTGTTAAACAGGCAGGAAACTGTGGCTCAGAAAGCTCAAGGGAGGGGGTGCCAGGGTACAGACATCAGTCCAGGCCCTTGTCTTCTCTGCCCAGTGCCTTCCTGCTTGGGCCTCAGCTCTGGAGGTTGCGATCATCTCAGGGCTCCTTTGGGTCTTGGGGAAAGATGCACGCTGTAAATAACTAAAGAAAGACCCAAAATAATCTGCCTAGTGATGACATCTGTGAGACAGAATGTAAGATAAGCTGATGTTAGCATTTGCTTTGAACAGCCTGCAAAGGTTCAGAGGAAGCTGATGGGTTTGTGCTTTAGCTTCCTAAACTGGTAACATCATCCTCATGTAAATACCATCAAGATAACAACAGGAAAGATGGAAAATAATTTTTCTTTTGTTTTCTAATCAGACTAAGATGATAACAAGTGGAAGTTTAAGATAGAAAAGAAAACATGATTTGGGGGAGGCTTAGAAATGCTCTGCACAGGCATTGGAATTAATTACAGGAGCAGGCCCTAGAGGCATGCCTCAGTCACAGAGGAGAGAGGGTCTAAAACCTTAGGGGAAAGGCATGTGGGTCCCTGGAGCCCTGGGTGTCATGGCACACCAGAGAGGCAGCCCGCAGTGCTTCCTCTGAGGCTTGCTGAGGAGCAAGCGGTCTTGGCTTTCCTCCCTGCTCTCTTAGGGGTCTGTGTCATGGTTCTCTTTTTCTTTATAAAAAAAAACTAAATGCTAGTGACGATGTGACTTTCTGTCCTTCTGAGAAAGGTGTAAGGAAAAAGGAAAAAAGGACTGACAGACTCTCAGCATCTAGCATTTGCCAGCATGGGGGCCATTTGCTTGGGGAGAGATGGCCTGAGGGCGAAGGCTGTGCTCACCGCCGCCGTGGCTTAGCTTGTACAGTCAGTCGGCAGGCATGACTGCCTGGGCCCCTTTCCCCCACTCTGCCCTGCCGCTTTCCTCTGCCAAGTGGGCTCTTCCTTCCAGTGTTCTAACATTAGCTGCTCCTCTGGACGGCAGCCCAGACATTTGACCTTGGGAGCTCTGTGCTCCCTCAGCTCCTTCCCGCACGCCTACGCTCAGGCCAAGGGCCTGTTCTCTTATTTCCAGAGTGACCACCTCCCTTGACCAGGCCTGGCCTTCTCTCCCCAGCTGGTCTCCCAGCCCTTTCTAAGTTCTGGAGACCAGAGGGAACTGATGACTGCCTGCTCCTGGGCAGAGGGTGGTACGTGGCTCCTGGTTGCCTGACTTTTCCCACAACCACCAGCACTAGTTTTTTGGAGGGGCTGATCTTGTAGGTAGAACAGGTACTTCCTTCTCCTCTGTGCTTGTCGGATTAGGATGCCAGGGCTAAGTTACTTACCCAGTCTGAAGAGTTAGTGGCCACATCAGGCCTTATACCCAGCTGCCCGGGCACTGGGGATCTTCATACTCTTGGTCATACCAAGTTGGCACTTTGGGTGCCATAGCCTCAGCCAGGATCCCTGGCAGGACACAGGCTGGCCTGAAGTTGGAAATCAGAGGTGCACACAGAGTCCAAGGCAGTCTGATACCTTTCACCCTGGGCAGGCAAAGATAGTAAGGGGACCCACTCACGCTTTGGCAGACCTCAAAGTGTCAGGAGTCAGGGCTACTGTATCTTAGTCAGCATCTTTGTGAGTCTCCGCCTAAGGACACTTCCCTTCCCAGCTTCTCTGTCTCATCCTGGGCCTGGATCTCCCTCTGCTTTCTATGCCACGATCTCACCAGTTTCCATTTTGGAAGCTCGTACTCCAGTGCAGAGGATGAGCTGCTCCCTGTTGCAATGTGGCTCCCTGTAACACTACTTTAGGAGAAGGAAAAAGCAACTTAATTGCTTCAGCTGATAATCTGCAGAGAAAGTTGTGAAGAACTGTGGCTATGGCCTGGCATTTTCTAGATGGGCTAGTTCCTCATTTGGAGCCTTAATTGTGTCTTTATTTAAGTCAGGGCTTCTTTCTTTAGTTAGACAGATGGCCCTGAAGCCTCAATTTGATTTCCAGCTTTTGCCTTTCCTACGAGGATCTGATTCCAAAAGCCTTCTCTCGTGATCTAAAAAGTCTCACAGAGATGAGGCCCTGCCCTGGGGTGGGCTTGGGAACAGAGACTCCACAGTGGGAGAAATACAAAGGGGAAATGTGCTCTTGTCTTGTTTCACTGCAGAGCTCAGCCAAGGCTCGGGTGCTCACTTCTGTGCAGACACTGAGTGTCTTGTGAAACCTCAGAGGGCCAAGAGTTTCCCTCAGGGCCTGGTGGGCCTCAACACACAGTGATTTGCATGTCCTTCCCACTGTGGGTGCAGAAGGTTCAAAGGGTTAGAAAGGCTGCCTGTAAGAATGGCACATCCCAGTGGGAAATTTATCATATACTGGGTAGACTGGGAATGAAAGGCTCTGGCCAAGCGGGAACTCTGTTGGTTTGCCTGGGGGGAATTGGACCCAGGGAAAGCTGGCAGTGGTCAGGGTATACTGGCACAGTCTGGGGTACACCATACTAATCACAGACGGCGCTCAGAAAACAAGACTGGCCCTGATCTTGTCTTGAGGCCAATCATGAAATCAGTCAGGGTTCCTCGTTTGTTAGTGACAGAGGCCACCCCTAGCTAACTCACACCGAAAGAGGACTCTCTGGAGCAATGGGAGAGAGTTGTTGAGGGAAGAGTTGGTGAGTTAGGCCTCCGAAAGTGCAGGGCCAGCGCAGCTGGGAGGACTTTAGAAGCAGGTTCTTGTGGGCAGGCTGAGAATCTCCCTGCTGGGTGGATCAGCCTAGCACAGCTTTGGTTCAGCAGCCAGAGCACAGAGCCCAGTGAGTGTCTCGTGAGCCCAGCCTGAGTTCTGAGCCTACTCCTTGGCTGGGGCGGTGTAGGCTTCTTGATTGACAGTCCCACCGAGACACTACCCAGTGAGGAGGGAGGTACCCCAATTTGGAATTGGGGTGCTGCCAGCAGAAGAAGTGGGGCTGTACCACTGGGCCATGCAGTTTCATCAGCTCAGTGAGAGGAGCAAACAGCAGCTCATCTAGAGCAGAGGGAAGTGGAGAAGTTGTTCCTTCAAGCTAGAAAATGACAGTGTACGCCATCGCTGGTCCACTGGCACCTCTGGGTGGAGTGTCAGAGGCTGACATGAGGAGCCTGGGCCAAATAGATTAGGGGGAAGCCCTAACCCTCAGGCTGGCACTCTCACTCCTTCCCCGCTGAGTTTGGACTTTGCATAAGCCTGGTGATTTTGGGAGGCAGTAGGTTCTGCCTGGTTAAAATCCATTTCCAATAGCCCAGCATCCACTGGGTGGGCACAGGAGCCAGATGGGCTGGCGCTGACAGGTGCCATAGGCATGGTGCCTGCTCTGCACTAGAAATGCTGTTAACAAGAGAGCCCCCTTTCCTCAAGAAACTTCCTTTCCCACGGAGCAGAAAATAAGCACAGGAATAGATGAGCCAATACACGCTGTGTACATTAAGGTGATGGAGAGAAAAGCTTGGGGTGAGAGGTGCTGCTTCAGCCAGGATGGTCAGGGAAGGCCTCTAGGAGGCCACAGGCCAGGAGCGAGGGTGCAGAGCCTTTTGTGTAAAGGCTCCAAGACAGCAGCAACTGGCTTGTCCCCACCACGTGGCATAAATGAGGAGGGGAGGAACAGAGTGAGGTTGAGAAGGCTTGAGCAACATAGCAAGACCCTGTCTCTACAAAAAAAAAAAAAAAATTAAAAATTAGCTGGGTGTGTTGTGCGTGCCAATAATCCCAGCTACTTGGGAGGTTGAGGTGGGAATATCCCTTGAGACCTGGGAGGTTGTGGCTGCAGTGAGCTATGACACCACTGTGCTCCAGCAAGAGTGACAGAGTGAGACCCTGTGTCTCAAAAAAAAAAAAAAAGACTTTGGAAAACAGGGCCCCAGGGCCCAGGCTGCAAGAGCAGTTTGGAGGTGCGTTCAGTGGGGGCTGGTGGTAGCTGGGAGCAGGGGCAGTGCTAGGGTATAAGAGGTGTACTCCCCACCCAGGGAACGACAGGCCGCTCTGGGCACCTGCAGCAAATTCTGACAAGTCCTCATGGAATGAGCGAGTGAGTGAGCAGGGGAGCCCAGTGTTGGCCCAGTGGCTTCCCTCTGTAGGCTGACAGATGCCAGCATCTCTGGTAAGGTGGCTGGTGCCCACTCATGTGTCCATTTCCCTGGGCGGGTCTGGGTCAGGAGGGCACTGTGGAGCCCCTTGGTCTGGAACACCCTGGCTTCGTGGGCAACAGCCAGTGAGCACAGCTCTGCTGGCAAGGCAGGGTTTGGCTCACTGATCGGCTTCCTGCTTTTGTGTGGAAAACACCGAGCCCTCCTTCATGGCACCTTTGTGCCAGTGACACCACCAGCCGCTCTGGTGCTCCCTCTCCCTCCTGCTTTCCTAGGCCTGTCCCGCTATGGGCTTCTGTGGGCTCCCTAGCCTGGGTGGCCTTCGCCTTCCTGACAAGCGCGTGGTGGGGGCTGTGGTTCCCTGGGGTGTTGTGCCTTGATGCTCCATTAGCACTGGAACTGTCTCCTTTAGCAAGCAAGGCCTCTGGCTTGACTTTTCTCACCAAACCTGGGAGCTTCCATATGCTGTGCTCTTGGCTGTGCAGGTAGCACAGCTCCAGTGGGAAGGCTGTCAGTGTGTTTGTCACTCCCTCTCCATTGGGTGACTTTGATGTGTGCTTACAACTGTGCTGTATCAGCTAGGAGGAAAGCAGGTACAGCCATCTATAACTTTTTCCAGATATTTCTATGGACGGCTATAGTGTGGATGGTCATGTCACCATGGAATCCATGGAGGTAACCTGGCCCGATAGTGTAAGGATTGTTTTAAACTAAGGAAGGGGAACTGGAGAAGGACTGCCCCACCCACATTTGCCCTCTGTAGTTCCTTCTGGCCCTTCAACACCAGTTCAGGTGTTCATCCCAGGAAACCAGCCCTGACCTCTACCCTTGCCCCAGCACACATGCCCTAGGTACCCTCTCCAGCCCCAGTCTCTCTGTAGTGTAATGGTTTATCTCCGTGACTGTGTCCCAGTCTCTCTGTAGTGTAATGGTTTATCTCTCTGACTGTGTTTATCTCAGTGAAGTGTGTGTGTTCCCAGGCTGGTCAGGATGGACCCTCAGTAACCCTGTGGGATGAATGCATTGCTGGCCATGTGCAGAAGTCCCTGGATTGGGCAGCTGGGGATGGGATGAGGGAGCTAGTGCTAGGCACTTGCCATCCTCTTATCTGGGTAGGCCAGGTGTTTTTAGTCAGCCGCACCCTCCTTTCAAGCCATAAAGAGCCAGGGCCTGGGCTCTTGCCCACTTCTCAGCATAGAAGCCTTGTCTGTTCCCATCATTTGGCAGGGGTGGGTGGTAGTGATGGGGCTCCTCTCAGAAGTTAGAGCCCTTTATCAGTTAGGGCTGATTTCTTTGGAACCAAGAGTTCTTTCACCATTGCATTATCAACACCTAGCCCAACCTGCACACGAATAATTCCAGCACATATTCACTGAATAGGTGAGAGAGGGAGGGAGGGAGCCTTTGCAACGCTTGAGGAAGAACTTCTTGGCGCTCCAGCTGGGCAGTTTCTTCCTCACCAGCAAGTGCTTGACTTGGGTTTCCCCTATCACAAGGAACTCTCAGAATATTCCATGTCCCCTATCACAAGGAACTCTCAGAATATTCCATGCTTAGTTTGCTGTGTAGACATTGAGCAAGTGCCCATTTGGGGTTCTTCTAGTCCTCATTGGCCTGTTTTCCACCCAGTGGCTATAACATTCATCTGAGGCCAGGCGTAGGGTATGAGGGAGTATGTAGAGAATATTTACAGTAGAAAGGGGAACCGTTGTGGAAATACAGTGCTGAGGCGTTCAAAAGCCATAGCTGTTATGCTGAAACTAAATAGAACCCTTGATTTTCTGTTTCACTTCAGAGAATGCCTTGGTGGGGACTCCTTGTAGCCGCAGAACAGCCTGCAGAGCAGAGGCCAGCCCTCCTGAGCATTACCTGACGCTTCTCTGTAGGTCAGGAGGAGCTGTTCTCCTGGCATCTGGAAGGGAGGGGTCTGTGGGTGGGAGAGAGGGCCCTCTGCTCCTCACTCAAGGTTCTTCCTTGTCCCTGGGGAGGTCCCCTGCTCTAGCAGTCTCTTCTCATCCCAGCTCAGGAAAGCTTGTTCAACTGTTTACTATCACACCTCCCCCTCCCACCTCCACGTCACTTGTGTGGAAAAATCCCTTGTCAGAAGTCAAGGGGCTTTTGTGCGTTTTTAAAGCCCATTAGCTTGATAGACTCCATAACTCTTGGGACAAAGAGTCTGGGCCTAATTCCGTGCAGATGTTGTCTCGTCGTATACTTTTTTCTCCTTTCCCAAATCTGACATTGGCAAAGGGCAGTTACCCCTCTATTTGTGGTTTTAGCAAAGGATCAGTGCAGAGTCATGTGCAAACGTGCTTCTTATGACTTGAAGAGTGAATAGCTTTTCTGGTTGTTTTCAGCACACGCCAAAGAAGATGAGTCAAGGACCTACACTATTCTCTTGTGGAATTATGGGTAAGTACCCAAGGCCATCCTGAGAGCCATCCCACTGGTCCTTCCAGCCAGGGCCTGAGTCCTCCAGGTGAGACACTAAAAGCACTTTTTGGACACAGGTTTACAAAGAGCAGGACTCTTTCTATGTGTCTTAACTATGTCAGTCCCCATCAGTGCAGGAGTGGTCCTGGGGACTGCTGGCCTGGATGAGGGACAGGGACTGGTATGTGGTTTATGACTCTCACGTTGAGAATTTCTGACTGACTGTTAAAGTAATTCATGTTGATTTTTTTTTCGTTCAGAAAATGTACCATAGTGTAAAGTATAAAATGAAAATCTCTCTAGCTCCAGTACCTGGTGATGGTTACTGTTGATATTTTTGTGTATGTTTATGTTCTCAGTATTTTTTCCTCGCCTACTCTATGATGAACATATAATTATATAAAACTATATTCGTTTGCTTTTTTTCCACTTGGTAGTAGTTACCATCATGTTCCCATGGCATTAAAATTGTTAATTTCATGTATTTTAATGGTCTTTAGTACTGCATTGTGTGGCTGTATCAGAAAGTCTTCAACATTGTAACTGTTTCTTGGCTGTTGGCTAAAGGGTCTGTTTTATTTGCTGTTGTAATTAGCAGGGACTAAGTGTCTCAGTCTTTATCTACCTTTTAGATTATTTCTAGGGATAGTTCCCAGAGTAGAATAGAAAGGTCAGAGGATAGGGACCTTTTTTAAGGTTATTGATTCATATTGCTGATGTGCCTTCGAGGAAGGCTGCCTTGGTCTTCTGTTTCTGTGCAAGTGTGAATTGCTGTTTTTATGTAGGGGACAAAAATGACTGTATTGATTATATTGGTTTCTTGATGCTCCAGATGTTTTGGCACAGTTTCTCCTTGTGCTGTCTCCCTGGAACTCTTCTTGTCTCCCTTTGGGGATGTCTTGACAGATGTAATGTCTGTGTTGAGTCAGAAACCAGACTTCGATGATAGATAACCACTGTGGGCTTTCTAATTCAAAGTTTGTAGGACCGTGTAAAGTCTTTCTTGCCTTTCTTTCTCAGCCCTTTCCCTCTGTGTACAGTGTTTTCTTTTTCTTTAGGCGCAATTCCCATAGGTACAGTGGCAAGGATAGAGGGGCGCTGGATATGACATACTGAGTGCTGTGCTCCGTATGTGCAGGATCCTATTGACCCTGCCAGTGGCTTCAGTGGGGAGGGGGATGCATTCACATACAGGGAAACTGTGGCCTAGTGAAGTGACCCTCCCCAAAGTCCTTTGTAGGCAGATTGAACTTAGGTAGGGAAGAAGGAAGATCTTCTCAGTCACGTGCCACAGCTCTGGGAGAGCTAGATGATCCTCTTGGTGCTGACACCCGGAGACAATGGAAACAGGGAGATCCCTTGGCCTTGGTTTACCGGTGTGATACACTTTTGAGGCCTGTCCCCATATGATTGAATATCTGCTTTGTTGTTTATGGCTTCCAACAAATGATTAGCACCCTGACCATGTGGCCCAGAAGCCTGCCTCATCACCTGCTTCCTAGGATAATCTCATGATTGAGCTGCCTTCTTCCGTCATGCCCAGGAAAGGGAGAGAGGCTCCTGGGCATGCCCAGCCCCCCAGTCCTGCCTAGATCTTAGCTATAACTGGGCCAGACCAGAAAACCAGGTTGTGGATATGTTGCTCTTTATTTCAAGACCATTTATAACATTAGGCTTTCTTGGCATTTGCACTGTGTAAGTCATAACAAGGTGGGACTCTCATGGGTTTGTGATGGGCATGATTGGGGCTCATGTAGTCACTCTGAACTTGTTCACTTTTCTAAGTCTCAGTTTCCTTATCTGCAAAATGGCAATTATGATAGTACCTACCTTGTGGGCTTGTTGTGAGGGCTGACAGCGTGAAATAATATTTGTAAAGAGATCAGCACAGAGTGAGCGCTCTGTAAGTAACAGGTAAAAAGAGGACTGAGACCAAAATTGAGAATTCTTCCTGAGAAGAGGCCTTCACACCCAAATAAAGGAACTACCTTGGATTTTTTTTTGGGGGGGGGGTTAGAGAGTCACCCTCGTAGGGGAGATTCTCAGGCCCAGCGACCGAGGCAGAGGCCCTGGGGAAAGGGAAGTGTGTAGGGAGAAGCTCAGATTGCCCAGGGAGTCTGTCTGAGCCTGCAGAGCCCAGCAATTTGATTTCTACTGGGGGAGGCCTGCTTTTTACCAGGGAGGCCCATGGTTTCCAGGAGGGATGTGCTGTGTCTCCAGGCTCTTGTTTACAGAGTGGCTTTGCAGGAAGTGCTGGCCGGATCTAGTGCCTGGATCTCAGGCAGGCTCTTCCCTTGCACGGGTCCCTGTCTTCTTCCTGGTCCATGGGCCAGTGCCAGGGCACTGCCAGGCAGCAGAGGGAGAAGCTGGGTGCAGCTGTGCTCTTGGGGGTTCCATGGAGTCCATTCGTCCTTCTCTGCTGTTCTCAGTCCCACGGGCCTCATCTTCTATTGCTCAGCCCCCTCCCTGATTTAGGAAAACCCTGACCATGTGAATATGCACTACCAAGGTACTTCATTTTACCACATTTCATTTTCATTATCAGTGGCTTGTTCTAGTAGATATAAATTGAGCACCTACAGTGTGTCTGGCACTTGGTGTAGGGATAGAGTGAATCAGACCCTTCCCCTACCTTCAGGGAAATTTCTTTCTGGTGCTGGAGAAAGATCTACCAACAGTGACTTCCCTGTGGGTTAGTCCAACTTTGATGAAATGGCCGAGGCACTTAGAGCCATGGCAAATCTCCCCATCTTCCTGAGCATTGCGGGTGTTTGTGGGGTTTTAGAGCTGGCAGCACATCAGAGGTGCCACCTTCATCCTTCCTGCCTCTATCCTTTTCCTGCATTTGCTGGGGCAGAAGCATCAGCATTTGGGGAGGCCTTACCAAGCCCAGCAGGCTAGTCAAAGCTCAGGTTACCTCTCCAGCCCACTTAGCCCCAGAATTGAGGTTTTGTGGCTTTGCCCTGTGAACTGGCAGTGCACCCCAGTTGGTGAGATTTTTATCTTAGGTGTGCCTGCTTTTCAACACTGTGAGGGGCCGGCTGGACTTTTGTAAGAGGGTTTTGGGCCCTTCCAGGGCTGGACAATGCTGAGCAAAGATAAAATGCCAAATTATCATATCACTAGCCCCCAGCCTGTCTCCAGGAGATAAGGGACTTGTGTTCTGGCACTCATCAGTGGCATTCTCTCGAGAGAGCTGGAGACAGTTGGCCCTGTGACTCAGGGTTTTTCCCTCCTAAGCCCCCATGCAAGGGTCCTAGCTGAAAGCCACCATGAGTTGGAGCTTCGTAAATGTTCTGATGAAAATCCAGGCAGGTGCAGTAGTGGAGGAGCACAGTGGCCTGGTTGCTGCTGCCTGAAAGGCCACCCTTTCAAGTGGCTCGGCCTCCCCTGCACACACATAAAGGTATTACTATTAGAATCAAGGGCTCACCATAATTTTTGGGGGGAGGAGATGGAGTCTTGCTCTGTTGCCCAAGCTAGAGTGCCATGGAGACAGCCTAGCTCACAGTAACCTCAAACTCCTGGGCTTCAGTGATCCTCCTGCCTCAGCCGCCACCATGCCCAGCTAATTTTTCTATTTTTAGTAGAGACAGGGTCTCACTCTTGCTCAGGCTGGTCTCAAACTCCTGAGCTCAAGCGATCCTTCTGCCTCAGCCTCCCAGAGTGCTGGTATTAAGGGTGTGGGCCGCTGTGCCCAGCCTGTTTTGTTGTTGTTGTTGTTTGTTTTTTTAAAGTACTTCACTCTCTGTGATTGCGAGCTGGATATCGGGCCCCTGCCCACTGGTGTGTTCCTCACACCAGTTTGGGAACTTGACACAAATGATTTTGTGATTTTCAAAGTAGGGGAGAGAAACAAACCAGCATGAGGTGCTGATGGGAGGAGCAGGGCAGAGTGGAGCCGAGCCGCTGCCCAGCCTGAGCCGCTGCCCAGCCTGCTCTGTGCCAGCCCCAGTGCCCCCTATTGGGATACCAGCTCAGCCGTGTCACCAAAGGGCCATGTTTCCCTCTTGGTTTCCTTGCTCGCCCCCCAGAACATCCCCAGCCCACCTTCTGTGCTGACATGGAATTTCCTCTGCCAACAGCTTTTCTGGGTAAGGGCCATCTGCATGACTAGTTCTTGTGCTCTTGACAAAGGAAACGTTGGTCAGGTGCAGCTCCATGGGCGTGCCATGGCCAGGCAGGTGAGCCAGCCCCTGCTTCTGGCTCTGATTTCTGGTGGGTGCAGAAAGGGGCCTCGGCTGTGGCTGAGAGAAGCAGCCTGTGTTGGGAGAGGCAGGGGCTCGAGTGTGGCCTCAGTACAGGCTCCCTCTGGATCTCCCGCCATTTGTAGGGGTCACACGTGCACTAGTTTAATCTTTTTTGGTGAAACAGGGAAAGTGGGGTGATAGCAGTCTCCATTTACCACCCTTGGCTAATTGTAGCCATTCAGTGCTGTCTGTTGAGGGGACAATGGACACCACACATTCCATTTTCCTCACCACTCAGGCGAGGAGAAGACTGGAAATTGCATAATATGTGAGACAGCGAAGGCAATACCAATTATTTCAATAAGGCCACTAGGAAAAGTCTTGTAAATACAAGTCAGTGGACAGAGAACAAAACAATTCATATGCTAAAAAAAACTGGATGGAAACCCATAATTACTTTAGGAGTTATGGTAATAAATTATTTATTAATGTAAATTATTTCACAGGCAAAGAACATAGAGGAAACTTGAGCAGAAGGATCATACATTATGTATAGAAAGGAATTGTAAAAATATTACAGCAGCCCTGCTTGTTCTGTTGCAGTCCAGGTTTGTCAGCGTTTTAATTACAAGCCCTCACTTTCCGTGTTTAATTACTTGGCTGTTAAAGTCTACTCTGTACATAAAAGGGTTGTTCCCGGGGGCACTCTCTGTATTAATTTCTACAGGGTAAACCAGTTGGCTGTGTTGAGCTGGGTAGGACTAAGAGATTTCACTTTGAGATTTGGTA